TGTTTTCCGATCTTTCCATCGTAAAAGATCTAATGATTGGTAAAGCAAGCTGCATGAGAACTTTTCTGCCCTAGTAAGGCAACCAGTTTGCCAGTAAAAATTGGTTCACTGGAAACATTAGTCCATTGGAAAGCTCACCATATCTCTGAGGTTGTTAGAGAGTCAGTTCAATAATTAAGCAATAAAATGGCACCCTTAACTAAAAGAAAATGTGATACTGTACATCTGGGTCCAAAACATCTACCTTTCTGTCTGTAGTTTGGTATGTAAAGAATGGTAAAAAGGATAGTGTCACTACATTCCGGTAATTTCATATTGGGGTTAGTGAAACCCCATGTGGCATCTAATTATTAAAATATTTTATATTGTTTATTTTTTACGACATTAAATAAGGACCAATTTCTCAGCACATCCAAAATTTTACCAACCAGATCCAGCACTTTTAATTTTGATATAAATACTCCACGTAACATTGCCAGAATTATCAAATTAATTTTGCATTTGTTTTCTCCAGTAACATATAGTACACTTTCAGGATAAAAATAAAGTATTATCTTTTAAATAGCTGATTTATTTAAATAATAATCCAAAAATAGTGTAGCCAATTTCTAGTACAAATAAAGCTTTACTGTAACTTAAACACTGGAAACGGTGAAATCAAAGAGGGATTTGACTAAAGAAGAGATAGGTTGGAATTAGAAATATGTAACAGTAGTAATGTTTAAAATGTACAATCTATGAGATAAACCTTAATTACAGCATCCTATACAATTTTATTCAGAACATTAAATTAAGAATGGCCATAATTCTGACATTAATTACAATTGCAGGCAGGTTAAATGCATGTCCCTTCAGTCCTAATAATTCTTAAGAGTTCAAAATCTAAGAAAGTACTGGTAGTCAACTTAAGTATCGGTTTCAAGATAAAGCAGGCCCAAAGAAAAAAAAAAGTTTAGGCCTGAAGATAAGTATTATATTATTTGCTCAAAGCATTGGGAATACACCATCCAGTTTTGATGTTGTCTTTCTGGGATTCAAAAAGAAACAAACTAATTTATATATTCAGATTGATCAGATAATAACCGTTGCGCAAAGTGGGCTGTCATTCATGACAGTCAAACTTGTGGAAAAAAACAGTTTGTCAAGAAATGTCAGGTTTCTTAATCCTTATTAAGAGTTTCTCTTCATCCTTATTGTTACTAATGAACCGTGTTTAATTCTAATTTTAAGAGCAAAATTTGTTGTTTTTTTAACATTTGTTTAAATGCCTAAAGTTTGATCCTTCTCATTTGTAGTGGTGTCTGGGGGAGAGAACTGTGTGTGAGGTGGTTTTCATGTCATGGTTAGGATTGTCTGTTATATCAAATTAAGATTTTTGTTTTTATTACTGAAGGATACATCTAGGGATTTAATGGGCAGGTAACAAGAAAATTGGGCCCATCCTGCTTGTCTGGACAATAGTTTGCTGAAGGGTCCAGTCACCTTATGAACATTTATTTTAGTTAAAATTATATATTATTTACTACAGAGCAGTTTAGATTTCACTTGAATATGGTCAGTAATTCTGCATTTTACCTAAAGAGGTACAGTTGAATGAGCAGTTATTGAATAACACAGCAGTGAAAATGTGCTTTGTTTTGTCTTTTGGTTTAAGGGTTTACTGGGTATTTAAAATGATGGATAACAATTAATAGTGACACAACCGTCACTGCTGGATCCTTTAAGTTATTTTCTTTCTTCAAACTTTAAGACTTGTATTGGATGCCATTCTTTCTGCCAGAGAAAGTGAGCTGCTCCCCCTGCGTGTGAGTGTGGGGCTGTAGCGGAGAGCTCTGATTCGGGAGCGTTGATTTACAGAGAGCTTTCCCAGCATGGCAGCCTGGCACGTCTGCCTCCCTCACTGTTTTAGAGCAAGTCCCCCGATGGGAATCGAAAGATTAATTTTCTCTGGCCCAACAGGATAATTACTGATACTAATTAGACATAATTACTCGAATTTGATACACTTATTACTCGTGGTAATGGGTAGGAAGCATTATCTTAACAAGAGTGAATGCCATTTCAGATAAAGTACAGTATACACTGATAAAGACAATATGTATACAGTAACTCATTCAAATGAAAATGTTTTTTTTACTTGGGCAAATGTCTGGTTGCACAACAATGTATTTTAATTGGGTTGTCCGCTCCATGAAAATAATTTCATTTTTAATGTTTTATTTTTTTTATTATTTATACCTCTGTCAAAGACGGTGAAAGCTAAATTTACATGGCTTCTATGGGTTTTTCTTTTATATTGAGCTAGATAGATAAAATACAGTAACGAAACAGTGCTACAATTAATACCTAAATAAACACTATTAAATCTTGGATTTCATCCAACTGAAATTACTGTTAATTACTCTCTTTTGTTATAAAGTGGTCTATTATAATAATGCCCTAGGAGAATATCTGCCTTTTTGAACAAGAGATTAACATTCTAGTAAAAGTCTTTTTGATATGTTATATTAAAATGATACTTTCATTATGCATCTTTTTAAATTAAGCATTACATTTAAGTATTAATAATATAATACCTAGTGTAATGTTATTTTAGGCATGAATATTTTTGCCGAAATATGTAAATCTATATTCTACATGTAGTAGCTATATTTATTGTAGTAGTATGTGAAGAGTGTTTAAAATTTTTCACTAATAATTAAGAGGGACGATTCTTTCTTAACCTGCAACAATCAGATTGATTTCCTTTGGATAATAACTGTTGAAGTAGGGCCATGCTTAGAATATTTTGTTAAAAAAGTAAAGAATGATATGGGTACACTCTTATCTTTAAGGTACACTTATGGAAGATCAGCCTCTGCTTAATTTACATTTAGATGCATTCAAGTTTTGTTGGGAATATACAAGTCATTGTGAAACATATGGAAAACAATTTAAGCCATCAGCTATATTTTTGGTTTTGCTTTATGAAAAATCAAGTTTATAAACATAAGCATATTCCCTGAATATCCTGCAGTTTTCTAAATAACACATAGAAGGTGGGATATAAAATTAGGACAGTGTGACTGTATGTGACCAGAACAGTTGTTTAATCATCAGAAATGATTGTTGGTATATTACCGTTTTAGCCAGGAATCATGAGTGCACCCCTCTGAGTAATTAGAGAGACTGGGAACAGTAGAGTCACACCCTTAATTTTAGGGAATACTGCAAATAGTGAACTCATAAGGGCATTTACAAAAACAAAAAGACTTACAGTATATGTCTAAGGAAGTGATCATCGACTTGCATGTCTCATAATTGCAAACGATTACTTGATTTGTAAGGATTGATGATTACTGTGAAATGCTGTCAGTTTTAAGCCTAGTTAGATTTAAAGTGCATGTTTTCAAATAATTTCCAATTAATAATAACCTTGTATTATTGATCATTGCATCAATTATAATGATTCTCATTTATAATTTTCTATTGACTTTTTTAACACATTATTCTTAATACCATCATATATTTTCCAAATAATGTAATGGACAATCAATATAATTGTTTTATCTATTAGTGATCCTGCTATTGATCTGACCTTTTATCAATTTAGGCCCTAGTGAAGAGATTCAAAGTTTGATTCATTTGTTCATACATAATTAATGCACAGTTAAGAAGTGAAGCATAGAATCTGGCTTGTTTCTGCATATTCTCAAATTGAAACAGGAATGAGGACTGTCATTTCTTCTTTGCTAAGGAGCAGAGTACTGAATCAAGTATGTCTGTTGTGATGAATATGCTTTGTGTACAGTTCGTTCCATATCATAATGGAATAAAGGTGGAAATGTTCTCGAGAACTGTAATTCTTTTCACAGAAAGAGGAGTGAGGGGTTTCGTGTGCGTTAAATGAATTAATAAGGGTTGGGAAGGCAGCAGGGTGTAAAGTGTCCATGGCGCTGCTGATTGGGAAACATCGAGTCTGTTAGTAGATGCTGGGAGAGATGGATGTGCCAGTCAGAGGGCTGAGGCAAGATAATTACCGTTCGGAGTGTATCTTGTTAATTAAGGGCTAATTAGACACAGAGTCAGAGGAAGGGTTTACACATGTAGTGGGGAAGATGAACATGAAAAAGGCAGTGGCAGCATTGTAATACAGAAAGACGCAGGATCAGGGAGGGAGGGAGCCCATGCAGAACTGATGAAAACCATCCAGCAGTTAAAAATGCCAACTTCATCTCCCAACTTGGATATGCCACACACTATACAGCATACACTTTGTTTTGCTTGTTTACTCCATCAGGCTTATCTTGTACTGTGTCTGCTCATTTTGTTTTTTACTAAAACCAATTCAGAGACTTGCCTTATAATATGCAGGCCTATTGAAACATCTTATTTTGTTCATGTTGTCTATTGATTTTATCAAATGCAGTTACATTTACATGATCACGGTTGCAATTTAAAACATAAATCGCAAAAGGCTTTATTGTATTTGCCTTAACATGGAATATAATTAATTGGAGATTAGAGCCATTTCTGTTTAGTTTAGTTTGAGTATGACTTCCAAATGAGTCAAACAGAGCAACAGAGGAAATATTACACATTGTAATGTTATGTTATTTATTGTTTAATGATTTAATGAATCAAGACTGGTTTTGAAAGGTACAGTGTGATGCAGGTTTTTGATGCAGATTTTATTCGTATTTTAAAATAGATTAATTTAAGGTTAATTTTAGTTTAACTATCCCCTTCTCCCCAGGAAATATACTGTTTTTTTAAATGGTTCAATGACATTGCTGTGTATGTGGTGAATTAATATTTCTTTTTAATGGAGGTTTTCATGGAGGTTAGACTATCTTTAAAAAGGAATGCATTTTCACTTGAGTCATTTTTTTTCTGTTTTTGATGGAAACGTTCTATAAAAGACGTGGAGGCGTTTTGTTTTTCAGAACAAGATGTTCAGTCTGGGTGAATGGAATAGAGATCTGTCTCTTGGTCACTCTTGTTTCTCCTCTTTCTCCCAGGTGCCCCTCACTCCAACAGCAGCGGGTCCCTGCAGTCCGAGCGCTCAGTCAGTGGGATCAACCTGGTGGCCTTCAGCTCCAAGCCCGATGGAATGCACCAGCGCTCTTTCTCTGTGTCTAGTGCTGACCAATGGAATGAGGCCGTCATCAATACCAGTGTCAGCACCGGGGCTGGTAAGATATGGGTTTGCCATCAGTGCCACCTTAGTCATCTCTTCATGCCTCATTTCCGTTATTATTTGTTTTTCGTGTTCCTCTTTTTAGACAATTTTATCACTGACAATTGCATTTTAGTTTTATTTTAATCTTTTATTGACTTTATCACCTCCTCCCTACAGTGCCCTTTTTTGTTCAGTTTTCCTCCTCTTAAACTTGTGCTTTCAAGGTGTGATTTTTTTTCTCAGCTTTTAAAATAAATTTGAGAGTGCTTTAACTTTTTTATTCATAATCTGTTTAATTGTCAAAACTATTTGTTGATGCTTCCCACTACTAGAAAGATTATCAATAATCTGAGCAGTGTGAGACACAAGATTGAGCCCTTTGACTGTTTCTAGTCTTCACTAGAAGCAAGGACATTACAGCAATTAAGAGACTGGGAAAAAATATATATGCTAAAAAGAACTTTGATTACATCTGCAAATGTAAAGTTCTAGATATAAGGCAGCTTTTTCTAGACATCGTGACTGTAACCACCAGTTCATTGGTATAATTCAAGAGCCATCAGCAGTTGCACTATTTTATATCTGAGGAATTACAGACATAGTGACTTTCCTGCTCTGGAGTCAGCCATTCAAAAGTTTAAAACCAGAATGACATTACTTGTATATTTCTGTAGGGTTAAAAATATCTAAGAAGCTACCTTACAAGAAGGTAAAATAAAATTAACTCTCGGTAATATTATTTTACTAATAAATAAGAAATAGATTTATCAGAGAATTAGAAATGGATATTACACTGGCAAGGATGAAGCGGCTATTATGACCACTATGATGAAGATGACGATGGTTGTTATTATTAGATATGCACAATTACCACATAAGGAAGGGAATAGTTTGCCATTTGAGATTAAAGGTTATTTGCGCTACAGTCATTTTGCCCTTCTCCCTCCATCGTTTCAGTGCAGTTGAGTGAATTAAAATAATACATTTGCAGAGCGTGACCACTTCTCCCCGAATTGGAAAATAAATGCTTTTCTGGCGACATTCATCACCAGTTATTTCAGTCTCTTTGTGGTTGGCAGTAAAAAAGCACTTAAATGCACATCAACAGAATAACAGTCATTTCCATGCATGTTTGCCCCCTTGTAGTTCTCATTAGCACTGTGCTCCCTCCCCCTCCCCCTTCCCCGTTAGGTCCCAGGGGCTTTCGCAGTTTAAAGAGTGCTCTTTATGATCATTGCCGGAGTCCGACCGCGCAGCCCGCAGTTCCGCAGACGACAGAGGCTCTCATTTGTAACTGTGAAAAACTATCAATTTCACGAAGGCTGAGGCAGCGGCTCCATCATCCCCCCTCCCCAACTCCCATCAGCTCCCTACTGAAAGAGAATTACTCAGATAGTTAGCACTCTCGCTGGGTTCCTTTTTGGGTGGCGGTGTGGGTATACGTGTCTGCGCAGGGTAAGAGCGCTGTAGGTATGTGCCCATGGCTCCCCGTGCCTGAACAAAAGTGAGTGCCCACAAAGGACTGGAGCCTGAAGTGAGACGGCTGGTTTCTGAACTTGAAAAACAGCCCTGTGAAGACCGAATCAAGGGTCCCCACTTTGCAGAGTGATCTTTTCTTACAGTTTGCTTCCGCTTAAAGTCATGTCTTGTGTGGTTGTGTTTTTTTGACAACTAAGAGAAGGTTTCAAATTAACTCTCCTGTAAAGAGTATCATGTATCGTGTATGATCTTCTTGTAAGCTGTTTAACCCCCTGATACAGTATGTATACTTGTCTTTAACTACTAGGTAAGTCACTCTGATATGTATCCTAGCGCTTCCTTTTTTTTGCACAGCAGTGACTTTTTGCTGGAGGACTTAGGAGGAATTGTTTATTTTGTGTTTTAAAATGCAAGGTTTTAAAGAAAATGTTTGTTCTATTGCTACTATTGCAACACACATCTATACCTATTCAATCAGCTATTTTTTTTAAATACTGTACCTTGATCAGGGGTACAGAGTGCTACAATTGGGATTTAAACTTCCGTTTACAAGTCCAGACCTTGACTCTGCCTATTGTCCCATTAAAGATGTAGCTTCTTCCTTCATAATATGAATGAAACTATTTTTACTATTTTTATTAAACTATTTTTAAGTCTCTCAATCATTATATAGCTGCTGTATCAAAAAGATTTAGTGACTATTACTATGGTTGTACCCAAGACCCAAGCAGACAAAAGAATAACTGATTTTCATTCATTAAGATCGCAAGTGTGAAAGCGGAGAATCGGAAGTTAAGAAAAAAATCTGATACTCTTAAACCATTCATCCAGTACAGGCACTTAATTGTAACTCAGGTTAAGTCCTTGTAGTGTAGGCATCACTGGTTCACTTCTGAGCTATGACCTGGATTCCCTAAGCACAGAATCACAATTTAGACAAGCTAATGGACTAGGGTATTATCAGCTTGTCACACAGCAATGACATGTAAGGGTGTCTTAGCGTTGCGGTGTTGCTTGTGAGGGGTCCATTCATCTTACAACAGATGCTAATTCTGTTATGGACAGATGAGGACTCACTACTCTCAAACTGGCCCTGGCAGTATGTGTATCAGCAGAGGTGGTGTTGCCCTCATCACTCTTATGCTAGTAATGGGAGTCATGGTGAAAAGCATCATCTGTTTACCAGTTCATATTAACAGGATATGCAAATCCAAAGTTATGTTATCTTTTTCTAACACAATTCAGTAGTAAATTGGTTGCTCTCTTGGTGGGAAAACTGGAAAAGAACAGTAAATTAGCTTGTTTATTTAGGTAAAGAAGAAGAAGGAGTTTGTGGTTTATAATACTGAATTTATAAACTATAAAAATATGCATCTCTGTATCAGATGTAAGAAATCACAGATACAGTGATAATTTGTTGGGGGTTGTGGTTGTATGAGTTTTAGTACTGTTTTCTTTATTGGATTATATTTAATTGGACCCAGTATGAACAAGTAAATGTTACCTGCATGTGAAATGTATGCTTTTAAAACCTTGCTTACATTTTTTATAAATTTCATGAAGCAGATCTGAATAAATGAATAGAATGGATTAGCAGTTTACATCACAACATTATACTGAAATACCATCACTGCATTTTGAATGAAAGGCAGCTGCAAAATTGCCTGACTATAGGAAATCATACCAAATACCCTTAACATGGAACAGTTCCATTTTTTAACATAGGTTAAGCACTCACTTCAGTCTTATCATGGGAACATACCAGAGTAGAAAAATTGTGAATTTAAAAAAAAAAGGTATACCTTATGCTTTCATGGCTAACATGCACTTTAGAAAAGATGTTTACTTCACTTTCTAGATATTTTTTTGTCATGATGTTGAAACAGCATGGTATCCTGTCACACCGTAACACTAAGTCACTTACATCAGTGACAGCATCATAAACTTTAGAATAATGGACCTTCTCTGTCCTACATCTCTGATGCTTTCAAACCTAAGTTGAGACTCCTAAGAGTATTAACATTTATCTTCTTTAAAAGCTCAACAGGACCGCGTGTATTGCTGGTATTTATATTATGGTACAGTACATTGCTCCTTCTTAATGGGAGCATTCTAAGCCATATCCCACAAGATGTAATTATAACTTACATATTCGATGGGGACACTATACTGTAACATCTTTAGCACTGTGCTATCCTTCAGATGAGACGAAAAAACCAAGGTCCTGACTCTCTGTGGTCATTAAAAATCCCTCGAAAAGAGTATGGGTGTAACCCCGGTGTCCAGGCCAAATTTCCCATTGGCCCTTGCCAATCATGGCCTCCTAATAATCCCTATTAGTGATTAGGGATTTAATTAGTGATTAAATCCCTAATCACTAATAAGTGATGTGTAGTGTGTCTGGTGCACTATGGCTGCCGTCGCATTATCCAGGTGGATGCTGCACATTGGTGGTGGTAGAGAGGAGTCCGCATTACCTGTAAAGCTCTTTGAGTGGAGAAAAAGCACTATATAAGTGTAAGCAATTATTATTATTATTATTATTATTATTATTATAAAGTGCTGTCAGAGTAGGACATCCCCCTAAGCCAGTGTTTGAATCAAGGACTATCACTCACAATATCCAACACCACATTAGAAGAATTTACAAGACGTAGTAAGATTATGGGCTTCCACCATCATTTGGGGTTCATAATAAGATATATATAAATCTGGTGGTGTCTGTCACACCCTGGGTTTAATATAATGTTCTTGAATAATGCGAGATAACTTTTATCTTTTACTGCTTTTACTATGGTATAATTGTCTCATTATCTAAGGCGAGCTAAGATTGAAAGAAGCAATACCATCCACATACAGTACACAAAATATCCATTTTTTTAAGGACCAAACTGTCCAGCCTAAGAGCATTTCACTCCCTCCTTCGGTGTCTGATACACATTTGAGGCAGCCTTCTGCACCTGCAGGGCTGAAGCAGTAGCCACCATTGGGTCCAGCAGCATAAGAGTCTCTTTCCTTCCCACACTGAAATGAAAGCCATGTGATAAGAATGAAACTCCTAGAGAATTAGAAGTGTGATCTCCTTTGTCTGTCACTAGATACCTTAAGGGACAGAGCTGACTAAGTGGTCTGTGACTAAAGTTGTGTGCAGTGCAGCCACCTCTCAGGACAGTTCACAGAGTAGTGTGTCCTCTAGGTAATTCAGGGCAGCTACCATCCCCTTGGAAAACCCAAAAAATAAGAGGAAGAGTGTACATGTTCTCTGGTAGGTCAGTATAACTGAAGAGGCCTTGTCCTGGAAAACAAATCAAATATACTATCTGTGTCTTGGGCAGATGGGATGTGAAAATATTCATCCTTTAGGTCAACTGTAGTGGCCTACACTGGAGTCAATTGGAATATAGTAGACCCATTGGAGTATATTAGAACATAAGAGAAACTGGGAAAGTGAGGCACTTTTTTACACAAAAGGCTATGGAAATCTAGAACATGCTACCCAGCCATGTTCTTGATACTGGTACTCCTAGCTTCATT